CTCCTAGTAAATGATAGGTATCTTTTACAGTTTGTGATTGCATTTCCAATTGCACTACATGTGTTGAATGGAGTCCGATTCATAGGATTTGATATTGCGAAGGGAATGAAAGACATCAACCAGGCTAGTTTTTTTCACAGTTATTTCACCAAATATTTGTGTTTTTTAAATAATTTGATCGTTAGAAGATAATTTGTTTTCAGATTCTCTTTACTGGTAAACTCGTTCTTGTTCTTTCCGCCATCATTGCTGCAGCTACAGTTTATATGGCGTGGCCAACTGCGAAAGAAGCTCCAAAGAAGCCATAAATGATCTTGAGAAGATTTCTTTCTTTTCCAGTTTCCTCACTCTTCGTCGTTTTCCGCTTCCTCTTTTTTGAAGCTTGAGATCTATTATCGGTTCAATTTTCTCCCGGTTGTTCGCATCAAATAGCATAGTTAGATTTGTACGATAACTTTGTTCTTCTTTTGTTGTCGTCGTTGACGTATTTACGGTTAGATATGTAATATAGTTGAGTCAAATAAATATTATAGGTAGTATGAGCGAAACAGAACGAATTGAAGTTCCATCAGCTCCTGAGGCACCGGATTTTGAAGATCCGCGCCTCGAAGTGGAGGGATTTGTAGTGAGTTTAATTACGATTGCTAATCGATATTAATGTCATCAAGATGTAACACAATGATTGCTACCTAGGTTGATTATATAGCTTGGCGAATCAAAAGGGACAAACATGAGTGGTACGAACAACCGGCGTTGCCGTTCGGCACGCAGCCTGAGCATGAGATGATGAGGTCAATTAAACATTTGATTTCTTTAGTATCTCTATTTCCAACTATAAAACAATCTTTGCAGCCTTCATTTTCAGTTTGAGCTCACTACTCAGATACATGATCATTTTATGATATTCTCTTATTCTGAGCAATCTACTTTCTTAGTCAAAAAGTTACAGAAGATAGTCTCCAATTTTTGGATAACATAGATATCAACTTATTTTCTGCCATACTATTGTACGTATTTGAATTTTTTCTGTTTCGCTATTCAGTGTTGCTCTTTAGAAAAGTTGCTTACATCTTTGAACGCCGCCATCGCAGTGAGTTGCATGCATTTGCGGACGAACTGTTAGAAGATGAGAATTTATCGTTTACTCGATACTGTGAGGTTAGTGCAAAATTGAATTGAGCTTGTGTTTTGTAGAGAATTAATTGCTTGCAGTTTGGTTTGTGTTTTTCAGATAGTTGATGAGTTTGGAAGGACTGCGGATGAAATGGAAAATGGAATGTCATATGGAAGATTGGTTTGTTTCTTTTTTGCAAGTTACATTCAGTTTGAATAAAGTCTTTAGGTGGGATTAATATCGTTTGGAGGATTGGTGGCAGCTCGCTTGTACGCGCGTAATTTACGTCGCGAAGTCCAGCAACTTGCGCTTTATACTGCAAAATTCATCGCAAAACGGATACGACTGACATGGGTCGAGGATGAGAGGAGCTGGGTAAGTACGAAGAATTGAATATTTT